ATATATTTGGCATTTGCCAAAATTGTCCCTTACTCTTGCATACTTTTTGGTGTCTTCATTTTTACCTTGGTCAAGTTGTGCAGACTTCACCCATACTGGGTATTGCCCTTAACATCACCTAAGGTAACAAATGTCTACTGTCTAGAAAGTGACTCTCCCTCTCTCTTCCTTCCACCCCTGGTAAGCATCAAAGAATGCTGCTTTCTGTGTGACTACCTATCCTTGGCTTTTTATAAACGTGGTATCATACAATATTTTTCCTTTTTTGATTGACTTATTTTAGTCAGCATAATGTGCTCCAGATTCACCCATGGTATAGATGTTTTCTGGACTCATCATTACTCTTCATTGTTGCATAGTATTCCATTGTATGCATGTACCACAATTTGCTATCCATTCATCCACTCATGAGCACTAAGGCTGTTTCTATCTTTTGGCTATTGTGAGTAATACAGCAGTGAACATAGGTCTGCATATGTCTATTCACGTCACTGCTCTCATATCTCTAGGATATACACCCACAAGCAGGATTGCTAGATCATAAGGTATTTCTATTTGTAGATTTTTGAGGAAGTGCCATATTGTTTTCCACAGTAGTTGTACCATTTGACAATCCTACCAGCAGTGTATATGAGCTCTAATTTCCCTACAACTTCACCAGCATTTGTTTTCTATTTTTTTGATCAATGCTATTTTTGCAGGGATGAGATGGTATCTCACTGTAGTTTTGCATCTCTAATGACTAATGACATTGAGCATCTCTTCATATGTTTGTTAGCTTCCTTTGGTGAAGGTTCTGTTCATGGCCTTTGCTCATTTTCTGACTGGATTTTTTTAACTTTTTTTTGTTGAGTTGTTGAAGTTTTCTATATATTTTAAAGCTTAGATCCTTATCACGTGTCACTGTCAAAGATTTTTTTTCTCAGTCTGTAGGTTATCTTTTTACTCTTTCGGTAAAATCTTTTGATGAGCATAAATATTTCATTTGTTGTTGTTGTTGTTAGGTACCATCGAGTTGTTTCCGACTCATAGTGATCCCACGCACAGCAGAACAAAACACTACCCGATCCCGTGCCAGCTCCACGATCTCTGCTATACTTGAGCCCATTATCGCAGCCACCATGTCAATCCATCTCGTTGAAGGCCTCCCCCTTTCGTCGACCCTCCACCCTACCAAGCATGACATCCTTCTCCAGGGAATGGTACCTTCTGACAACATGACCAAAACAGGTGAGACAAAGTCTGGCCATTCTAGCTTCCAAGGAGCATTTCGGGTGCACTTCCTCCAGGACAGATCTGTTAGTTCTTTTAGCAGTCCATGGTACTTTCAGCATTCTTCACCAGCACCACAACTCAAAAGCATC